ATCAACTAAATCAAACAAATATGTAATTAAAACTATCACTAGCCAAGACTATACCCCTCTATCTAAGTTCATAAGCACCTTTATAAAGATCCTAAAGAGGCAACAAAAGTGTCAGGATAGCTAGAGCTCACCTAATCAATTCTAGAGCAAGGTCACACAAACCTATACACTAGTACTTCATACAACTGTGGGAGCTCCTACACAACTAGTGATGCAAAAGCACAAAGCCACCTAAGCTCACTAGCAATGCTCAATAACAAGGCTACGAAGCCAAATTATAGAGTTTAAAATACTTAGCTACACAAACCAAGCAATGTGACTAACAAGGTTACTAAAACCAAATTAGCCACCCAAGGGAGCTACTTCTATGCTACACAAATAAGAAGGCAACTAGCAAGCTACTAAAGCTAAACTAGTCACAAGAGCAACTACAAAAGCACAATGTATAAAGTGTAAATACAAGCTTGTGTTGCATGGAATGCAAACCATCGAGAAGATTATCAAGACAATGTTGACACGGTGATTTTCTCCCAAGGTTCACTTCGTTGCCATCAAGCTACGTCCCCATTGTGTCGACCGCTCACTTGGTGGTTCGACGGCTAATTGGCATCACCTGTCAAGCCCGCGTGTCGGACACCGCAAGAACTACCCCGAAAGTGAGGGTAGCTTAATGACACACCTAACTAGAGTTGCTCTTCACGATCCCCGCGGGGTGAGCACAATCCCCCTCACAAATCCTCCTCCGGAGCACCGCACAATCTTCTCGCGTGCTTCAACGGAGTCACAAGCCACCAATCCATCTAGAAGGTGGCAACCTCTAAGAGTAACAAGCACCACCGGCTTGCAATTCGAACACCTAGTGCCACTCAATGCAACCTCACGATGCAATCGTACTAGAATCGCTCACTCGATTAAATGATCACTATCAAGCACAAGTGAGTTAGAGGGCTCTCAAGCACACCTATACAAGCCACTAAGGCTCAAGAGTGCTCGGCTAGCGACCAAAGGCTGGTCAACACTTCTATTTATAACCCCAAGAACTAAACTATTTGCTACCCTTCACTAGGGCTTTCACGCATCGACCGGACACGCGGGTCCACTTGATCGGACGCGTTGATCCTCACGTCCGGTCACGCCTGGTGCTTCCACGTGTCACTAGCCGCTTGAACTAACCGCTGCCGCCAATGGCTATCTCCCTACGACGCTAGCGGTCATCGATCGAACGCGCCGCTTGGCTTAACTCGACGCTGCCCCTGCCGCCGTCCGATCGCTCAAAGAACGGTCTCAGAGAAGCTTTTACGCAACCAAATGCGTCCTCTCATGCACGACCGCACGCAAACTAGCGTCCGATCAGCTCTGCATCCGTGCGTGAACTCTAGCGTCGCCTACATCACCGTACGTCACCTATGACCGGACACGTCCGGTCACTTTTACTGTACAGCATCCGGTCACTTGACCAAGACCATGCCCAACTGCTACCACTGATCGGACACGTCGGTCCTGCCGAGGCCAGCGTCCGGTCACCAATGTTTTCCTAAACAGTAAATGATCTTTACATGGTCGTCCTTCGTTTAGCGTTTAGGCTGTTTACACGGTGTTTAAACGAGGTTAAACAGTCTAAACGGTTTTGTACTTTAAAAAAATACATATAATTATATATGTGCATGTAAAAAATCAAGTATTCTAGCATTTATACATATTTATCCGAGTAAAAATCAATTATTTTGGTATGTATATATATTTATGCATGTGAAAAGAACCAAATATAGATATTTATGCATGTAACATATCAAGTGTACACATTTATAAATATAATAAACTTAAGTATACAAATTTATCCAAACAAAACTGAACTAGATTTACCTCGTGTTTGCCTATACCCAATTTTATTTAGCCGTTTAATGTCAAGTTTTATCTCCGTTCCATTTAGGTCGTTTAGACCATTTTTCCCGCTTTTTTACCGCTTAAATGGTCAACCGCTTAATTTTCGTTTACCTTCTAAACAAAAATAGTTTACCACCGTTATCAACATCGACCGTTTAAACGGCCGCTTAATCCATTTAGGTAACACTTTGGGTCACCACAAAGTGACACCTTCATCTCCGTTTCTTCACCGAGTTGATCCTCATCAACTCCAACTTCTTCTCCTTTGTAAATATGCCAGCACCATCAAGTGTACACCACCATATATATGTGTGTTAGCTTTTCACAAATATTTTAACGAAAGTTAGCCATTCAACTTGCCACGTCACTTAATCCTAACACGTATGCAAAGTTAGATCACTCAAGTGGCACTAGATGATCGATATGCAAACAAGTTTGCCCTCTTGATAGTACAGTCATCTATCCTAAACCGGTCATAAACTTCTCTATACACCTATGACCGGTGAAATAAAATGCCCTAGGTTATACCTTAGCCTTTGCATTTTTCATTCCAACTCCTTCGATGTTGATGCAACACATGCACCAATAAGATCGACAATGATATGATCCACTCCACATCATCACATGACTATATTGGTTCATCGATCTTGACCTCACTTGCTCTTCACCGTTGCTTCGGTCCATCGGCGCCAAGTCATCACTCAACTTGCCCTTCACACTTGCAACTGATCCATAGAGCTAAGTCATGTCTTGATCTTCTCCACCTTGATCACATGACTCAATGTCATATCTCATGTGCAATGAGCTCCTTCATCATCACATGTGTGAGCTTTGCAACATCTTCGAGCCATCTTCACAGTTATGGCATATGTTGCTCACACACATATACTTGTGAACTAATTATCTATGTATCTCACTCAAACACATATTAGTCCACTTAAGGATGTCACTCAATTAGCAAAACCAAACAAGGACCTTTCATAGTAGCACCTCGTGGGTCCTAGGTTTGACTTCCCCTATGAAACAATATTCTACGATTTTAACGTTGTTGTGCTTTCAGTGGTAGATGATGTTCTTGTTGATGGCGACGATTTCTGGTCACTAGTACACAGAACATTTGTACTGACGGTTCTAAACCTATTTTTACTGGTGCTTTTATCCACCGCCAATGTGAAAGGCCAGTGAAAATCATGAACTTCACGGACATTTTTTAGAGAAACGCCACTACAAATGATTTACAATGCTGTTTTCTTAAGAAAACCGTACTACAAATAATTTACACCTGTTGTTTTCTTAAAAACGCATACTACAAATGATTTTTAAAATTACAAATCGGGCACAAAAAATAGCAAAATAATTTTTTCAGCAAGAATCTTTTCTTAAGAAAATCGTCACTACAAATGATTTACATTGGGTTGTTTTCTTAAGAAAACCGCTACTACAAAAGATTTTCAAAATTACAAATTGGGCTTAAAATAGCAAAAAGTCACAAGAAATCCATGCATATATAACCTCAAGGAATTGAACTCAAGCACCTTAGCCTCGCATATTACACCCTCTTCCCATTGCACCCCAAAGCCACTTATGACTAAATAGTAGAAATATACCCGTAGTATTCATTACCGTAGATTTTAAATTTAAGATTTAAAGCCCTAAACAGATTCAAATGAAAAAAAATTCAACTACAAACTTTTAAATCTCGTTGAGATCTACAACTTTGCTTTTGATCATTTTCCCATCTGAGGCCATTTGAGAAATTCAAAAATATAAATTTTAAAGTCATTAATCTTAAAACATAATTTATGCACCCTAAATGATTTTAAATAAAAGTGGTCAACTACAAAGTTGTAGACCTTTTGAATCCTACAACTTTTGTTCATACCATTTTTTCATCTCGAGATCATTTGATAAACTTAAAAATTAATTTTAAATTATTTGTAGTGGCGTAAACTTAAGAAAACAGTCAGTAAAAATGATTTTACCCTGACGGTTCATGGTCTGGACCCATAATTTTATTTCTATTGGCGCTTATAGATTACGAACGGCCATTTAAAAAATTATTTCTACCCAATAGTTTTATCCTTCTCCAATAGTGTAATAGTTTTGCATTGGAAACCCCAAAATTATTTCTACCCAACCAAACCTTTTTTAATAGTTTCTTTGTATTTTATCGCTTTCTCACCTGACACCTTTTATTTTCTTAATTTATTCACGCATCCAATTTATCGTGATCTCTAGAGAAAACGCCCTATGGGGAGTGGATACGGATTTCCTCTAGTCCCAAAAATTTACAAGTTACAGAGGATACTCCCTCCGTACTGGGAAAAGAAGTTGTTTTAGGTGTTTAGAGGATTTGCACAAATGAAGTCGTTTTAGGAGTATTTGATTACTTTTAATTTTTATCAAGGTGCTCGTTTACCAAATTGTTGAAGGGGATTTTTTTTTCTTACAAGTTAGTGAGGATATTTGGTAACTTTTAATTTTAATTAAGAAGCTCTTTTACCAAACTAAAAAATCAAAAATAGGAGTTTATCGGATGTCTCGAAGAGACGTTGTTTTTTTAAAAAAAACAGTTGTTTTACAAAACTGTCGAGCAAGACATGCCCTTAAAAAAAGACGAATCCTAAATAGCGAAAACAAATACGTGGAACAAAAACCTCGTTCTCAGCAATTGGGCCGGCCCAGAACTGGTCGGCGCTGTGCTCGTCTTCCCCAAATCGTCCCCAGTCTCGCCGTCGAGGGTTAAGCCAACTCCTCTTCCCTGCTCGCGCCGGCGCCGCCCTTCTCACGGCCGCCTCTCTCCCCACGGCAGGCTCAAGTTGTGGCGCTCAGTAAGCCCCATTCCCCTACCGCCTATCTTTCGTCCCATTTCTGTACCCTTGACTGGTTTGCTATTTTTCAATTTTGCGATGAGACCATGCTTCTAACTCAGCAAAATGCTTCGCCATTTTTCGAAATCTCGCGCCGTCTTCGATCTAGCAGCGCCACTCTTCTAGCAATCGAACAGGATTTTGTGTAGATGGATATTTTTTTAGGAAAAAATGTATTTTTATTTATTTGTTTTGCTGGGTTGTTTGGTCCTCTAACAGGAGGAACTGCTCTGAGCAGGGCATGCCATGAAGCTTGAGGATGCCTTCAGGAAGCGCGCTCGCTTAAGTGGTGTCGTCGGTGGGTCCTCGACCGGCGGCCCGGACCGGCTGAGCTCTCTGCCGGACTGCCTCCTCCATACCATCATGTCCTTCCTGCAAGCCCGGCAGGCGGTCCAGACATGCATGCTGTCCACACGGTGGAGGCACCTCTGGCGCTCGGTGCCGTGCCTCGACATCGATTTTGATGAGTTCAAGACAGTGCCTGTTTCTGACAACAACTCAGGCTCGGGTGCCGACCACAACTATGGCTCCGGTGGCGACAACAACTCTGGCTCCGGTGGTGAGGACATCTCTGATTCTGACGGCGACGACAACTCCGATTCCAGTGATGACGACAGCTCTAGCTCTGACAGTGATACCTCTGATTCCGACAGTGACTGATGGCATGTCGATCCTGACAACAGCCACAAGGACTGGGAGCACTTCACCAACTACAAGGACTGGGAGAATTTTGAGAATTTTGCCGTGACCCTGATGCGTCGCTGTAACATTGCACAGTTGGATTCATTCCGGCTGCATATTGACCGATTCAGAGCACCGGAGTTTGGCAATAGAGTGGCAGCAGGATGGCTCCGTCGTGCCATGAAATACTGCACCCCAGATCATGCCAGTCAGCAGGGATTGAGCTCTGGTTCCTGGCGCCTCAAAAGGCTGCATCTCTGCCATGTACTTCTCGATAATGATTTTCTGAAGCATGTTAGTTCAGTGTGCCGCTCTTTGGAGGATTTGGAGCTGGACAATTGCATTTGTCAAATTCAGTCAATCACCTCTGATTCGTTGAAGACCCTGGTTCTGAAAAAATGTGGATGGCGCAATCTTTCTGAGATTATATCGCCCACACTGAAGACATTGGTTATTGATGGTGGTTCAAATACTGATGACTGTGTGCTTGTTATCATGGCCCCCTCCGTTGCGTATCTGCATCTGGCTGTGCATGTTGGCCACTTCAGTGGTGGTGTTTAATTAAATGAGGTGCCATCTGTTGCCAAGGCATTTATTCATCTATGGGGTCACCGATATGGTTCTGCCAGAACTAAAATTGGCGATCAATTCAGGCTTCTCTGCAGCATATCTAATTCGATAAATTTAGAATTGTCGGGTGTTGGATCAACGGTATGCCTTCAGTGTCTCTTGCAATGTTCCATTTATTCACTCCCATAATGTTACTGTGCTATCGAATCTAATGTACTGCAGGTGCTCAGTAAGGACCCAGATTCCAAGAATTCAAGAACCTGAGGAACTTATTGCTGTACAACTGTGATCTCAGTGATGACTTCAAGACATTGGTATTCTTTCTTCGGAGTTCTCCTATTCTTGAGAAACTCACTTTGCAGTACTGCAAGGTAAACTGTTGTTTGGTTTTTAACTTAATGAACATAGTTCCTTGTCTTACATCTTTTATGCTGGCCACAGTTCCCAAAATATTCTAACAGAAAGAAAGGAACACCCATACTCAACAAGACCTCATCTTCTGAGCTCGGTGGACTGGATTTGCTCTGTGAGAACCTCAAGGTTGAAATCATATATGGCTATAGCTATGGACCCCACCTTATCAGGCTTCTACATCGTGTTTCAGTGAATCTGTCGAAGAACAACATTAAACTCACCAAAGTTAATTAGTGTTTTTGTTATCCCAGGCCTTCTATGTGGCTTCTCACCTAATGGTTCATGTGGAATTTATGTGCACATTATAGGCTCCCTTCAGAGGCACTAAATCGAAGCCTGTACTTTTGACTACTTTCTAAGTGAAGCAGGCCTTTGCTCTATTGACTATATATGCTATTGCCTTTTACTCTTTTTCCTTGCTTAAGGATGTGATTGCAAAATATCTGCTTTAAGTCCTATGCACCGTGTGTGTTCTGTGTCTGCTGTCCACTTACATGGACTTAGCTAGCTTAAGTTGTTACATATTGGGAAACTGTTTCCTATTATAAAATATCGAATCTTGAAAAATGGGTTCATAAAGAGCATGCTTTCTTCTGTTTTTTTCCTTCCTGGGCCTTTGGGGACTAGGCAGAGGTACATACATACGAAAACTATACATCATCTTGGATTCATCATTGTTTTTGCCATCACTGTAAGCAGTTATCTTGTGTATGGGTCCCGTGCATATATGTGCAAAATATCTTGAGCCCCTTTGCTTTGACATACATGTTCTTCTATGTGGCTTCTCGCCTTAGGTTTCACATGTGGAATTTCTTGCATATTATGGGTTCCCTTTAGATGCACTAGATCGTGAGCCTATACTTTTCACCAATTTCTAAAGTGTGATGCAGGTCTTTGCTCTATTGACTATATTATATGCTACTGATTTTAACTCTTTTTTTCCTTGCTTCTGGTGCTTTTAACACCATGTACTCTGTGTATCTGTGTCTCTTGGTATAGAACATCCCGATCTTGAAAATGGCACCGGAAATCGCAAGTTTCTTCTGTTCTTTTCTCCCTGGGGCTCTTTGGGACTACTTTCTAAGTGAAGCAGGCCTTTGCTCTATTGACTATATATGCTATTGCCTTTTACTCTTTTTCCTTGCTTAAGGATGTGATTGCAAAATATCTGCTTTAAGCCCTATGCACGTACTGTGTCTGTCGGTGTCTGCTGTCCACTTACATGGACAAAGCTAGCTTAAGTTGTTACATATTGGGAAACTGTTTCCTATTATAAAATATCGCAATCTTGAAAAATGGGTTCGCAAAGTGCATGCTTTCTTCTGTTTTTTTTTCCTTCCTGGGCCTTTGGGGACTAGGCAGAGGTAACTACCTGCGAAAACTATACACCATCTCAACTTCATCATTGTTTTTGCCATCACACTGCAATGATCTTGTGTATGGGTTCCTTACATGGATGTTCAAAATATCTTGAGCCCCTTTGCTTTGACATGCATGTTCTTCTATGTGTCTTCTCCCCTTATGTTTCACATGTGGAATTTCTTGCATATTATGGGTTCCCTTTAGATGCATTAGATCGTGAGCCTATACTTTTCACCAATTTCTAAGTGTGATGCAGGTCTTTGCTCTATTGACTATATTATATGCTACTGATTTTAACTCTTTTTTCCTTGCTTCTGGTGCTTAACAGTATGTACTCTGTGTATCTGTGTCTCCCTTACACGTTTGCTTCTGTGTTTTCCTACTGAAACTATCTCCAGTTATAGAACATCCCGATCTTGAAAATGGCACCGGAAATCGCAAGTTTTCTTCTGTTCTTTTCTCCCTGGGGCTCTTTGGAACTTGGCAGAGAGGTACATACTTTAGGAAACTATCAAATTCATCAGCGTTTTTGTTATTAGTGTGCTTTTGTCTTGAGCCCCTCCGCTTCGGCTTTGACATGATTTCAAAACATCTTTCTTTGGACTGAAAACTCTGTGCTGACTGCTGACTACAGACGAGCTGAAACTGTCTAGCTGGCTCACCCTCTTTTGCTTCTGCAGTGCACAAGATCTGTAATCAAATCCCGTGGAGTGTTTCCTGTTCCAATTTCAGTTGGTTTTCTCGTGCAATCAAACCTTGACATGTGTACAAATCCCCAGGAACGCAAATGCGGTGATGTGAGGATTTCAGTCGGTGAAACAAAATTTGACTAAATTTATTTAAGAAAGCAACAGAAAAACCGGTCGATTGACAACCACGCAGACGCAGTGCACCAAACACCGGCGACAGTGACGCACTGATAGAGCTTCAGGGGAATTAGGCCTTCTTTTACAACATTTTTTCTTCACTCGTGTGATGGCATTTGGCAAAGCAAACAGATCAATCACTGGGCCAAATTGCAGCTTTTGTTAAGTGTTTTTTAAAAAGTAATTTACCCTTAGGCCCTGTTTGGTTCCCAGGAACTGAGAGGAATTGGAAATAATCTAATAGTGAAATGAGAAACACTTTCTAGATATTGGTTTCAATAAAGGGACCAAACAGGCCTTCATATAAAAGTCACACACAGTCATGTGCCGCATCACGCATTCACGCCCAACAAGGCCACACCGCGCGCGCAGCGAGATGTCTGAACTCCATGGTTGCCAGTACACAGTAGCATAAAGATTATTTTGCAAGCATAAGAACTTTGATCTCCATGTTCCACCATACTGACTTTTCTTATTAAAAAAAACAGAATTTAGCAAATATAAAATATGAAGTCAGTTCATTGGCACATAAAGGATTAGAAAACAAAATCTGAAACCAGGTTGTTGGAAAATCCATTGAATAAGGACTATTGTGGCATCATTTTCTTCATATTGATATAACTTTTTTTTTGCGAGACCCAATATAGATGCAGACGCTCATATGACGTGTACGTCGTCTACCACTGAAAGAATAATGCCGTTAAATCCTAGAATAAATCTAGGAAAATATGAGCACATGTGTCAAGTTTGAGCACAACTCACTTCGTCCTTCGTACATTATCTAATGGATATGTTATTTAGTAAATATATTTTAGGATTTAATAAATAAAGTGATTTAAAGATATACTTAACCCTCAATTTGTCTTATAGTAGTGAACAATTGCTAAGAAACCGATGTCATATCAAAAGATTTTTGAATATTGAATCCATTCAAAATGTATGACATTTTGTTTGTCCTAAATTGATATCCTAAGTTTAAAAAGTTTATAGAAAATGTAGAAACTTCCTGCAATACTAGATTAGCACTAGATACACTAAATGTAATCAAATTTAAATGAGTCTTAACAGGACAAACATGAAAACACCATATATTTTTAATCGAGGAATTATACACTATGCATGCATATAATTTTAACTAATAATTAGCCAAAATTCATAAAGTTTGGTTTTAATCACAATCTGTCTACTAATTTCAAGCGGATGGATTTCTTTAGAGAACTCGCTAAAAAACATATGGTTAATTTTTTAGAATTACTCGACAACAAAGTGATCGATTTTTTCAGATTGCTGCGTCTCACACCGCCCACTTGAGCTCAACTCGCGACGTGGCCTCCCTTCTCTCTCATCTCTGGCGACTCCTCCTGGCGGCCCGGCGCCCACGCCCCTACACTCGACGAGCTCCTCCCATGCCCCACTGCACTTTTAGTCCCGTGCCCGCAGCCCACGTGTGAAGGTTGGCTGCCCCCCCCCCTTCTTCCCCAACTCCGACGAGCTTAGAAGAAGGGGCAGGGTAGGAGGTAGGGCGCTGCAGTGAGGGGGACAGGGTCGGATGATTAGGTCCCTAGTGGCGGTGGGAGCGGGGAGCTCCATGGCGAGAGCTCCGAGGCCATGTCCCGCTAGGTCACCAAAGTTCCATGGCTGTGCTGGGGGGTGGGAGGTTGGTGGGTTGGGAGAGGCTGGGGTGGGAGACGCCGGCCACCGGGGGAGCACCCTAGGATTATGCTGGAGCTCCACGGCCATCGCTGGCTTCATGAGCTCTGGTGCAACCCTAGCGCCACCGTAAGGCAAAGTGGACATGCAGTAGGGCATGTACGAGGCTTAGGAGGGGCTTTGGAGGGGAGAAGACGCCAGAGAGGAGAAGCCGCTTGGGCTGGGAGGAAGAAGCACGCCATGTTTGTTTGGGCTTATTTGGCTTATAAGTCAAGAAGTGACGAAAGATTTCTTGCTAATTTGGTGTGAGAGAAAATATCGTTCATTTCATTGATAAGCTATGGTTTATAAGTCAAATACGACCAAGCTTGACAGGTGTTTGAAGATATTTGTGAGATTTCAGTCACCTGCCCTCTAAGACATACACTAATTTTTTCTGTTTATTAAAAACAGACTATTCCTCCGTAGCGAAAAGTTATGGAATAAAATAAAACTCTTTTTTAGCAGAAAATAAAATAAAAACTCGGTAGTAGCAATTGCCAATTGGGCCGGCCCAAAACTTCTCGGCGTAGTGTCCTCTTCCGCCACCCATCCCCTGTCTCGCCGTCGAGGGTTTAGGCACCGCTCGTGCCGGCGCCGCCCTTCTCACGGCTGCGTCTCTTCCGGCTGGAGCGGCTCCTACCCCCACGGCAGGCTCAGGCTGCGGCGCTCGGTAAGCCGTAAGCCCCATTCCCCCACCGCCCCATCTTTCGCCCCATTCCCTTACCCCTGACTGGTTTGCTTTCGGCCTTCGTGAACCCTTCTTGATTTCAATCTTCCGAGCAAAATGCTTCGCCATTTTTCCAAATCTTGCGCCGTCTTTGATCTAGCAGTGCGACTCATCAAGTAATCGATCTAGCAGGGCACGCCATGGAGCTTGGGGATGCCTTTAGGAAGCCCGCCCGCGCAAGTGGTGTCGTCGGCGGATCCTCGGCCGGCGGCCCGGACCGGCTGAGCTCTCTGCCGGACTGCCTCCTCCATACCATCATGTCCTCCTTGAAAGCTCGGCAGGCGGTCCAGACATGCGTGCTGTCCACACGGTGGAGGCACCTCTGGCGCTCGGTGCCGTGCCTCGACATCGACTTTGATGAGTTCAGCAACACGGCGCCCGCTTCTGACGTCTTCGATAGCAACGAGAGCGACGACGATACCTCTGATTCCGACAGTGATAACTGGCACAACCACAAGGACTGGGAGCACTTCACCAAGTACAAGGACTGGGAGGATTTTGAGGATTTTGCTGTGACACTGATACGCCGCTGTAACATTGCACAGTTGATTCATTCCGGCTGCATACTGATGGAAGCAGAGCACCGGAGTTTGGCAATAGAGTGGCAGCAGGATGGCTCCGTCATGCGCCATGAAATACTGCACTCCTGATCATGCCAATCAGCAGGGATTGAGCTCTGGTTCTTGGCGCCTCAAAAGGCTACATCTCTGCCATGTACTTCTTGATGACCATTTTGTGAAGTGTGTTAGTTCAGTGTGCCGCTCTTTGGTGGATTTGGAGCTGGACAATTGCAGTTGTGAAATTCAGTCAATCACCTCCCAATCGCTGAAGACCCTGGTTCTGAAAAGATGTGGATGGCGCAATCTTTCTGAGATTATATCGCCCACACTGAAGACATTGGTTATTGATGGCGGCTCAAATATAGGTGCCTGTGTGCTAGTTATCTTGGCCCCCTCTGTGGTGTATCTGCATTTGGCTATGCGTGTTGACTACTTTAGTGGCGGTGTTTCATTAAATGAGGTGCCATCCGTTGCCCAGGCTTTGATTCATCTATGGTATCACAAATATGTTTATGCCAGAAGTAAACTTGCTGGCGATCAATTCAAGCTTCTCTGTAGCATATCTAATTCGACAAATTTAGAATTGTCGGATGTTGGGACAACAGTATGCCTTCACTGTCTCTTGCAATGTTCCATTTTATTCACTCCAATAATGTTACTGTGCTATCTAATCTAATGTGCTATAGGTGCTTGGTAAGGAACCCAAATTCCAAGAATTCAAGAACCTGAGGAGCTTATTGCTGGACAGATGTGATCTCAGTGATGACTTCAAGACATTGGTATTCTTTCTTCGGAGTTCTCCTATTCTTGAGAAGCTCACTTTGCGGTGCTGCGAGGTATACTATTGTTTGGTTTTTAACTTAATGAACATTGTTCCTTGTCTTACATCTTTTATGCTGGCCACAGTTCCCAAAATATTCTAACAAAAAGAAAGGAACACCCATACTCAACAAGACCTCATCTTCTGAGCTCCGTGGACTGGATTTGCTGTGTGAGAACCTCAAGGTTGAAATCATATATAATGATGGCTATGGACCCCACCTTATGCAGCTTCTGCTGCGCATTTCAGTGAATTTGTCGAAGAACAACGTTAAACTCACCAAAGTTAATTAGTGTTTTTGTTATCCCAGGCCTTCCATGTGGCATTTCACCTAATGGTTCATGTGGAATTTATGTGCACATTATAGGCTTCCTTCAGATGCACTAAATCTCAAGCCTATACTTTTGACTAATTTCTAAGTGAAGCAGGCCTTTGCTCTATTGACTATATATGCTATTAATTTTTACTCTCTTTCCTTGCTCAAGGATATGATTCTCTCTGTAAAATGTCTGCTTTAATCCCTATGTGCTGTGTGTCAATGTCCACTGCCCAGTGCCCATCGTCCACTTACATGGACCAAGCTAGATTAAGTTCTTACTTATTGGGAAACTGTCTCCTATTATAAAATATCGCAAGCTTGAAAAATAGGTTCGGAAATAGCTTGTTTTCTTCTGTTTTTTGGCCTTCTGGGGAATAGGCAGAGGTGCATACTTTCAAAAACCACACACCATCTTTGATTCATCAGGGTTTTTGCCTTCACTGTGCAATTATCTTGTGTATGGATCCCCTAGATCTATTTGCAAAATATCTTGAGCCCCTCTGCTTTAACATGCATGTCCTTCTATGTGGCTTCGCCTTTTGGTTCACATGTGGAATTTACTTGCACATTATGGGTTCCCTTCAGATGCACTAGATCGCAAGCCTATATTTTTGACCAATTTGTAAGTGATGCAGGTATTTGCTCTATTGATTATATATGCTATTGATTTTTACTCTCTTTTTTTCCTTGCTTCTGGTGCTTTTAACACTATGTACTCTGTGTATCTGTGGCTCTTGTCTACTTACATGTTTGCTTCTGTGTTTTCCTACTGAAACTGTCTCCAATTATAAAACAATGCAATCTTGAAAAATGACACCGGAAATCACATGTTCTCTTTTTCTTTTCTCCCTGGGGCTCTTTGGGACTTGGCAGACAGGTACATACTTTGGAAAACTGTACACCAACTGAAATTCATCAGCGTTTTTGTCACCAGTGTGCAGATATCTCAAACTATACACCAACTCAAACTACACGTATGTGCAAAATATCTTGAGACCCTCCGCTTTGACATGATTCCAAATCGTATATCGACAATCTTTCGTCTGATTTTTTTTTTAATTTTAACATTTCTTGTAAATTAATTCTAAATCTAACACTGTTTGTTTTTTATTTCTAAATCTAATACTTTTGGCCACGCCTATTGCCATGGCGCGGCCAAATGACTGTGCCGTGCCATGCATGGTGGCGCGGCGAGAGGGCTGACGTGTCTATGACCGGAGCGCTGACCGGTGACGTGGCAGGGTCTGCCGCGCCACCCATCTTGGCGCGGCAGGGATCGACTTGAATGCCTGTGACTGCAAGCTTGCAACACAACTGAAACAACAGCAGAAGCAGCCTGCACGCAAGCTGCGATGATGGCCTATCGCTATCGGAGACGAAGACCATCGCATCACAGCTTGACCTTCGTATCACAGCTTAACCTTGACGCCACCGTACCTTTTGGTTTTTTATCCATCCGCTTTTTTACCGTCAGTATGGTGAGGTCGTGGTGAGGTAATCTGATGATCCTGTAGTATGTATCACGCATTCATGCGCCCAAGAATATATAAAAAGTATATATTTTTGTGTGTGTAAACTTTTGACTGTAATCTTCCCTTGGCGTAAATCTGAAACCGGCTAGATACATCGTGGGGACGGATCCACAGGAGAGCGTGGTACGGACGCCGAAAAGAGACCGCCTCGGGTTGCTTGCTCAGTTGCTCTGTGCGGCCTCGCTGACCGGCCTGAAAAGCACGCAGTGATGACGATGTTTGCCGCGGTGTCACGTCACCCTCCCAAATCTTAGGCCTTGTTTAAATTCTAAAGTTTTAGGAATATCGCATGGGCTGTTCGGATATTAATAAAAAAATAAATTACAGAATCGGTCGGTAGGTAATTCGCGAGACGAATTTATTAAACCTAATTAATCCGTTATTAGCACATGTGTTATTGTATCATGGATGAATTAGGCTTAAAAGATTCGTCTCGCAAATTAGTCACAAATTGTATAATTAGTTATTTTTAGTCTATATTTAATCACGTCACCCTCCCAAATTCTAAAGAGATGATGATGTTTGCCGCGAGACGAATTTATTAAGCCTAATTAATCCGTTATTAGCAAATGTGTGTACTGTAGCATGGACGAATTAGGCTTAAAAGATTCGTCTCGTAAATTAGTCACAAATTGTGCAATTACAAGATATGTTGGCATTTCTAAAGCTTCACATACTCCCTCCATTCTAAATTACAAGACATGTTGGCATTTCTAGATACATAGATTTTGCTATGTATCTAGATATATATTTATGTCTAGATACATAGAAACATCAATGTATCTAGAAAAGTCAAAACGTCTTATAATTTGAAATAGAGGGGTATGTGAAGCTTCTCTTAGGTATCGCAAAGTGTGGCATCAAATTTTGTAGCTAAATTTTGTGGCTTGGCACATTTGCCTAAAATTAGTTTGTGGCATGGTTGGGGACCAAACAAACCTTGGTTAGTGCCTTTGTTGTTAAGTAAGTGTCAAATAGGCAAGTCAAAGTTTTGCGAACTTGTTCTCTTTCTTGCAAGGAAGAAAGTTGTTAACTGCAATGTTATAAATTATTGATATTAAAAAAGCTTACCTGATACAAATTACTCATAATACAAATTTTATTTCAATTAAATTTCTTACCAAAATCAAACTCACGGTTGGCTACTTCAGAAAAAGCACCTTCTGACCTTGTTTTTTCGTGAAGACTTAAGGTAGTAAGGTTTGTAGCCTCCGCTCTTCGTTTCTAGATCACGGTTGCTATCAGTCATGTCTTACGTGTCTATCAAGGACGGCCCCAAATCCCAGCTCTTACCACAGGACCTCAAAGCTACAGGGATTAAGGCCTTGCTTTAGTTCCTCGTCTAAAGTTTACTTTATCCCATTAAATATTTGATACATGCAGGTAGTATTAAATATAGACTAAAAATAACTAATTGCATAATTTGTGACTAATTTACGAGACGAATCTTTTAAGCCTAATTCGGTCCATGATACGATAACACATGTGCTAATAACGGATTAATTAGGCTTAATAAATTGTCTTTATGGATTACCGACGGATTACCGACGGATTCTGTAATTTATTTTTTTATTAATATCCGAACGCCCCATACTACCCCTAAAACTTTAGAATTTAAACAATGCCTAAGATTTGGGAGGGTGACGTGACGCCGCGGCAAACATCATCATCACTGCGTGCTTTTCAGGCCGGTCAGCGAGGCCGCACAGAGCAACTGAGCAAGCAACCGAGCGGTCTCTTTCGGCGTCCGTACCACGCTCTCCTGTGGAGCCGTCCCTGACGCAGTTTACGCCAAGAAAGATTACAGTCAAAAGTTTACACGCCCACAAAAAATATATTTTTTATATATTCTTGGACGCGTGAATGCGTGATACATACTACAAGATCATCAGATTACCTCAGCACGACCTCACCATACTGACAGTAAAAAAATGGATGGATAAAAAACCAAAAGGTACGGTGGGGTCAAGGTCAAGCTGTGGTACGATGGTCTTCATCTCCGATAGCGATAGGCCATCGTCGTTGGCAGCTTGCGTGCAGGCTGCTTCTGCTGTTGTTTCAGTAGTGTTGCAGGCTTGCAGTCACAGGCATTCAAGTCGATCCCCTGCCACCTCGTTTCTCTGTTCTTCCCTGCCGCGCCGTGATGGATGGCGCGGCAGATCCTACTACGTCATCGGTCAGCGTCTCCGTCGTCGTCACGTCAGCCCTCTCGTCGCGCCACCATGCGCCATGGCAATAGGCGCGGCCAAAAGTGTTAGGGAAATAAAAAACAAACAGTGTTAGATTTAGAATTAGTTTACAAAAAGTGTTAAAATTAAAAAAAAATCACTACAGACGAACTGAGAACTTTGTGCTGACTGCTGACTTTAGACGAACTGAAACGGTCTGGCTGGCTCACCCTATTTTGTTTCTGCAATGCACAAGATCTGTAACCAAATCCCGTGTAATTTGAGTGTTTTCTGTTCCAATTTCGGTTGGTTTTCTCACGCAGCTCCATTTGACAAACTAATGCCTTCTTAATGAAAAACAGGCTGTCAAGTCTGCTCGAGAAAAAAAAAACTGAAAATTTGGTGTTGACTGCTGACTGATGCTGGTGGCTTGCTCACCCTCTTTTGCTTCAGTTGGTTTTTCCGTGCAATCAAACTTTGACATGTGTTCAAGTCCCCTAGAACGCAAATGTGGATGATGTAAGGATTTCAGTCGGTGAAACATAATTTGACTAGAAATTTGAAAAGGCAACCAAAGAAACGGAGAGAGTTTCAGGCGAATTAGGTCTTTCTTTTACAACATTTTATCTTTCACTCGTGTGATGGCACCTGGCAAATCAAACAGATCAATCACTGGGCCAAAGTGCAGCATTGTTAAGTGCTCTATAAAAAGTAATTTACCCACATATAAAAGCACGCACACAGTCATATGCAGCATCACAGCCAACAAGGCCACCCCAAAACAGAGAATAAATCTGAACTCCATGGTTGCAAGTACACAACAATAGTCTAAAGATTGTTTTGCAAACATAACAATTTTGTTCTCCATGTTCTACCATACTGACTTGTTTATTCCAAAAAAAAAAAGAATTTTGCAAATATAAAAGATGAAGTTAGTTCATTGGCACATAAGGATTTGTAAAACTGAAAAAAGATCTAAAAACATGTCGTTGTAAAATCCATTGAATCAGGATTATTGTGACAACTTCTTCATATTGATATACCATTTGAACAGGTGTGATGCCCATTTTTTTTTAAAAAAAACTATGCAATTGAAAACTTATTTTTTTCTCTCAGGAATTCAGGAGACCTGCACATCTTTTCTATCAAGAGAGAAAATGTTGCCGAAACCTTCATCTAGGATTGAATAACTAAAGTTTCTTTAAAGGTGTAGTTGACTCTCAATTTCTCTTACAGTAGTGAAAATTTGCTAACAAATCAATGTCATATCGAAAGATCTTTAAAACTGAGTTCACTCGTATAACTATTATTATTCTCTCCGTTCTAAAATGTAAGGCATTTTGTTTGTCCTAAGCGGAATTTTTTTCTTCTAAATTTAACCAAGTTCATAAAAAACATATCAACATCTTACAACACTAAATTAGTTGCATTAAATACACCAAATTTAATCAAACTTAAATAAAGGCATGTTTAGATACCATGAGCAAATTTTAGCTTAAATTAGCTCTATTGCATCCAAACAAAGAGGCAAATAGGTGGGTTAATTTTTTAGCCAAGTCTTCAACTACTAGCCAACCATATATAATTTAGACAAATTTATAGCCTAACTAGTAACTAGCCATGTGCATCAAACATGCCCTAAATCTAACTTAAGACAAACTTAAAACATCTTGTAATTTTTAACTAATTATTAGCCAAAATTTTATGAAGTTTGATTTTAGTCACAATACGTCTACTAATTTCGAGCGGAGGGATTACTTTACAGACCTTGCAAAAAATTAAAATATGTTTCTTTAGGAGAATTATAGACTAATCCTCCGTAGCCAAAAATTATGGATTAAAAACTCCTTCTCAGATATTGGGCAGGCCCAGAACTGCTCGGCGTCTTGTGCTCCTCTTCCCCAATTCTCTGGGATATTTAACTTTTTACCATGGTTACCAATGGCGACTCCTGGGATAGCATCTTTAGGTTTGGCGCTCCGTTTATAGCATCGAAGAGAGAAAAACGATATACATTTGATATTTTTGCTCGCGTGGCACGTCAGATCCGTTGTCCAGCTTAGATCCGAGTCAGCAGGCTGATGTAAAATGACCGCCCTGCCCCTGGCGTCTGTATTACCCCGTGGCCCACTCCACTCTCTCCCATCCGCTCCCCTTTCTCCTTTCTCTGGTCCGCGCGCGACACCAGCCAGCCGCCGCCACCGCGCACAACGCCGCCCCCCACCGCGAGACATGTCCCTGTCCCATTATTCCGAGTCATCTGCAAGGGCGAGGAGTCGGGTCCAAGGTGCCCGAGCTTCAGCATCACCTCCGTCTGTGTGGATCCAGGTAGACCTGGAGCACAAGATGGTGAAAGAAGATAAAGAGACTCCAATGCATCAGCCATATCCTGTCCTGGAGCTGATTTAGAGGTGATGAGGAGTTCTGCCTCAAAAACTCACATAAGAAACAAAGCAAACCATATAATGTAGCCTAACAACGAACACACTATCAAAAGATTTTTTTTTTTGAGAGAGGAAAACCTTTGAATCAATAATCTCTTTTAAGCGATTAAGCTCTTCCAGCGCAGCATCCCAGTTTCGATTTAGAATCTCTGATGCCAGCATCCCCCATACAAAGCTTGTGGACAGGACCCGATATTGGTTCAGGTAGGCCACGGCATCTGAGTAGCACCCGCACTCAAACTCAAATTTGGCATTATCATACAAAGCTTCAATCTGATCAGAGCCAATCTGCATTGTGCACAAAACAGTTCCATTAATTAATAATTAATCTGGTAGCAGACTAGCAGTGGCACACATAGCATGCCCAACTTTAACATTTCCACTAACATTTTTTTTTATCTTAAAAATTGGACGAGAGAGCACTGGCATACTCTAAAGTCTAAAGTGGGGATACAGGCACCGGGTTCAAGACCGGATGGTGACGTTAAGGGCCTGTTTGTTTGTCTGAATTTTGAAAGAATCTGGATGGTTTGGAGGAATGCTGGAAGAATTTGTGAGAGAAAAACACTATTCTGGATGAAAAAATGAGCAGATCAAGCCGGGTTTAAGAGCACGCGAACAGCGCCTCTGATCTTTATTATGGCTCCGGCATATTCTAATGCACTTCATGGCTCCTGGAGCATGCGGGCGTTGTACTGCTTGTCGGGCCTGAGCAGCTGGACGAGCTGCGGATCCTGCAGGAACGCGACGAGCGGCGAGGGGGGCTCCTGGAGCGCGACGACCTCGGCGCGGCGCGCGACCATGTCCTCGGGGACCTCGTAGTCATCGGTCCCGTGGTGGAGCGACTTGTGGATGGCCATGGCGTAGTCGACCATGTTGGTCCCGGCGAGGAGGCGGAGCTTGGCGGCCAGGACCTCCTCCTCCGGGTACAGCCCCCGCTCCTGCAGGAACTCCAGCAGCGGAAGCACCAGGTGGCGGTCCCCAAATGGTCTCACGGTGGGGGGCGGCGTCGTCGTGTGCGGCAGCGGCGGCTGGCGGGCGTAGCGGACCAGAAATGAGAAAGGGGAGCGGATGGGAGAGAGTTGAGTGGGCCGCAGGGTAATACAGACGTCAGGAGTAGAGCGGTCATTTTACATCGGCTGCTGACTCGGACAGTGGCCACGTGAAGTGACAAATATGTACTGTTTTTCTCTGTCCGATACTTAAGAACGCCGTAGAGCCAAACCTAAGATGCTGTCTCAGCAGTCGCCACCCCAACTCTCTCGCCGTCGAGGGTTTAAGCCAACTCCCAATCCCCGCTCGCGCCACCGGAGCCGCCCTTCTGACGTCGGCGTCTCCCCCCACGGCAGGCTCAGGGCGCGCTCGGTAAGCCCTCATTCCCCTACCGCCAATGTTTCGCCCCGTTCCCGTACCCTGAGGCCCTGATTTGTTTGATTTCGGCCCTCGTGAATCCTTCTTCATTTCAATCTTGCGATGAGAACATGCTTCTAACTCAGCAAATGCTTCGCCAATCTTGCGCCGTCTCCGATCTAGGAGAGCCAGCGACTCATCTAGTAATCGAACAGGATTTTGTGGCGTTTTGTGTAGACGGATTTATTTTGTAATCTTTTTATTTATTTGTTCTGCGGGTTCTTTGGTCCTCTAACGTGGGGAACTGCTCCGAGCAGGGCACGCCATGGAGCTTGAGGATGCCTTCAGGAAGCGCGCCCGCGCAAGTGGTGTCGTCGATGGAACCTCGGCCGGCGGCCCGGACCGGCTGAGCTCTCTGCCGGACTGCCTCCTCCATACCATCATGTCCTCATTGAAAGCCCGGCAGGTGGTCCAGACAAGCGTTCCGTCCACACGGTGGAGGCACCTCTGGCGCTCGGTGCCGTGCCTCGACATCGACTTTGATGAATTCAGCAACATGGCGCCCGCTTCTGACGTCTTCGATAGCAACGAGAGCGAGGATGATACCTCTGATTCCGACAGTGATAACTGGCACAACCACAAGGACTGGGAGCACTTCACCAAGTATAAGGACTGGGAGGATTTTGAGGATTTTGCTGTGACCCTGATGCGCAGCTGTCACATTGCACAGTTGGATTCATTCTGGCTGCATGTTGTCCAAAGCCGAGCACCGGAGTTTGGCAATAGAGTGGCAGCAGGATGGCTCCGTCGTGCCATGAAATACTGCACCCCGGATCGTGCCAGTTATCAGGGATTGAGCTCCGGTTCCTGGCGACTCAAAAGGCTGCATCTCTGCCATGTACTTCTTGATAATAATTTTCTGAAGCGTGTTAGTTCAGTGTGCTGCTGGAGGATTTGGAGCTGGACGATTGCGGTTGTCAAATTCAGTCAATCACCTCCCACTCGCTGAAGACCCTGGTTCTGAAAAAATGTCGTTGGCGCAATCGTTCTGAGATTATATCGCCCACACTGAAGACTTTGGTTATTGATGGCGGCTCAAATACTGATGCCTGTGTGCTTGTTATCTTGGCCCCTGCTCTTGCATATCTGCATCTGGCTATGGATATTGCCCTCTTTCGTGGTGGTGTTTCATTAAACGAGGTGCCATCCGTTGCCAAGGCATTGATTCATCTATGGGGTCACAGACACCGTTCTGTCAGAAGTAAAATTGGTGGCGATCAATTCAAGCTTCTCTGTTGCATATCTAATTCGACAAATTTAGAATTGTCGGGTGTTGGGACAACAGTATGCCTTCACTGTCTCTTGCGATGTTCCATTTTATTCACTCCAATAATGTTACTGTGCTATCTAATCTGATGTACTACAGGTGCTCAGTAAGGAACCCAGATTCCAAGAATTCAAGAACCTGAGGAACTTATTGCTGGACAAAACTGATCTTAGTGATGACTTCAAGACATTGGCGTTCTTTCTTCAGAGTTCTCCTATTCTTGAGAAACTCACTTTGCGTCACTGCGTGGTATACTGTTGTTTGATTTTTAACTTACTTAATGAACATAATTCATTGTCTTACATCTTTTATGCTGGCCACAGTTCCCAGAATATTCTAACAAAAAGAAGGGAACGCCCATACTCAACAAGACCTCATCTTCTGAGCTCCGGGGACTGGATTTGCTGTGCGAGAACCTCAAGGTTGAAATCATATATGGCTATGGCTATGGACCCCACCTTATCAGGCTTCTGCGGCGTGTTTCAGTGAATCTGTTGAAGAACCACATTAAACTCACCAAAGTTAATTAGTGTTTTTTTTTATCCCAGGCCTTCTATGTGGCTTCTCACCTAATGGTTCATGTGGAATTTATGTGCACATTATAGGCTCCCTTCAGAGGCACTACATCGAAGCCTATACTTTTGACTACTTTCTAAGTGAAGCAGGCCTTTGCTCTATTGACTATATATGCTATTGCCTTTTACTCTTTTTCCTTGCTTAATGATGTGATGGCCTCTGTAAAATATCTGGTGTATGCCCTATGTACTGTCAGTGTCTGCTGTCCACTTACATGGACAAAGCTAGCTTAAGTTGTTACGTATTGGGAAACTGTTTCCTATTATAAAATATCACAATCTTGAAATATGGGTCCGCAAATCGCATGTTTTCTTCTGTTTGTTTTTCTTCCTGGGCCTTTGGGGACTTGGCAGAGGTACATACATATGAAAACTATACACCATCTTGAATTCATCATTGTTTTTGCAATCACTTTGCAGTTATCTTGTGTATGGGTCCCCTACATATACGTGCAAAATATCTTGAGCCCCTTTGCTTTGACATACATGTTCTTCTATGTGTCTTCTCACCTTATGTTTCACATGTGAAATTTCTTGCATATTATGGGTTCTCTTCAGATGCACTAGATCACAAGCCTATACTTTTGACCAATTTCTAAGTGATGCAGGTCTTTGCTGTATTGACTATATATGCTATTGATTTTTACTCTTTTTTTCCTTGCTTCTGGTGCTTTTAACACTATGTGTATCTCTGTCTCTTGTCTACTTACAAGTTTGTGTCTTTTTTTTCCTACTAAAACTGTTCAGTTATAAAGCATCGCAATCTTTAAAAAATGGCACTGGAAACTGCTTGTTTTCTATTGTTCTTTTCTCCCCGGGGCTCTTTGGGATTGGGCAGCGAGTGCGAGGTAGTACATTCCCAACAAAATTTCCTGTGCAGATATCTCCTGTATGCCCCCCCCCACCCACCCACCCCCCACATGTGCAAGGATACTGAAATAAAAGTCCCAGTAACACAAACGTGGCTGATGTAGGGATTTCAGTATGTGAAACAAAATTTGATTAAATTTGAAAAAAGCAACCAAAGAAACCGGTCGATTAACAACCACGCAGTGCACAAGCACCGGTGACAATGACGCACCGATAGAGTTTCAGGCGAATTAGGCCTTCCTTCTACAACATGTTTTTCACTCGTGATGGCATGTGGAAAAGGAAACCGATCAACCACCTTATTCTCCTCATCCATTTCATTTTGGGTCAAGAAGGTGGGAAAGCGCCTTTCTATTGTCCCAAAGTGCACCATTATTCAAAAAAGTAATTTACCCACATATAAAAGTCATACACAGTCATATGCCGCATCACACCCAACAAGTCCACCCCAAACAATAGTAGCATAAAGATTGTTTTGCAAACATAACAATTTTGTACTCCATGTTGTACCACATTGACTTGCTTATTCATAAAAAAGATTTTTGCAAATATAAAAGATGAAGTGAATTCATTGGCACATAAGGATTTGCAAAAAGAAAAAGAAAACAAGATCTGAAAGCAAGTAGTTGGAAAATCCATTGAACCAGGATTATTGTGTGGCAGCATTCTCTTCATATTGCTATACCATTTAAACAGATATGATGACCCCAAAAAATACAAATAAAAATCCTTAGTACTCTTGTAAGCAATCGAAGGTGAAACCTAACATTTCTTTTTCTCAAATTCTTAGGAGACCTGCACATCTTTTATATATCAAGAAAGAAAATGTTATTTGAAGAAACCTCGTCAGTTTTCAATAGGTGTATTTCTGGATTTAATATAAAAAGTGTCTATAAAGGTGTACTTGACCCTCAATTTGTATTATAGTAGTGAAAAATTGCTAAAAATCAATTTCATATCAAAAGACCTTTAAAAGACTAAATTTGTTCATATACTACCTCCATTTGAAGTTATAAGACGTTTTTCCTTTTCTGGAGATATATTGCTTCTACTATGATATAGTATATATCTTAAGTATATAGCATAAATTATGTATCTAGAAAAACTAAAACATCTTATAATTTGAAATGAATGGAATAACTTTTATTTTCCTCATGAACGACATTTTGTTTATCATAAATTGCAGAATCATCTAAGTTTAACCAAGTTTATACAAAATATATAGCAACAGCTTAACACGCTAAATAAAGTTATTTAGTTGCATTAAATAAACCCAATTTAATCAAACTTAAACAAGTCTAACTTAGGACAAATCTAAAACACCATGCGTTTTTTAATCGAAGAATTTTATACTTTGCATGCATATAATTTTAACTAATTACTATATATGTGCCCGTGCGTTGCATGGTGGCCTCGAATTTTGTCCACATCTACGCGAAGGATTTGTTCATTTTGCGAAAGCAATAAAAAAACTATTAAACGATTTTGCATTGGAAACCTAAACTATTTCCAAATGCATTTACGCCTTTTCATCATATTCAAAATAATTCACACATATGCCAATTCTTTTGTTGCAGATCTAGTATGGCCAGCCTCTTTCGTTCAGGACGTGCGCATTTTATATTTCTAACTTTGAAGTTGCAATTGTCAAGCTTGTCAAACTGACTTTGAAGCAGAGTGTCTATAGGTTATACATGCTCTTAGACTTTTCATGATTTATATTCAACGCGCAATGACACCTTACACTCTTTGGTTCAAAGGAACTTAACAAAATTTGAATTATAATTTCTAGATTTGATTTTGATTTTATTTAGATTTTATAAGTTTAAGTCAATTTGTGCATTGTTCCGGAAAAGACAAGAAGCTAACAATATATTTTTTATTGGGAACCCTGAAGTCTATATAAATCTTTAGGTTTCTGCATGTCATTTTGCATTTGGGCATGCAACGGCCTCGTTCGGTCTCGGACCATCGGTTCCGTATGGGAGCCTCCGACCGTAGCCTGGGGGGGGCGGGCGCGCACACGAACCCTGTGGACGAAACCTCCTCTCGCTTTTTAGGTGGTAACAGATAGATTAGCCAAAGATTTATGAAGTTTGGTTGAGCAGAAGTTTAATTTGGTTTTAATTGCGTCAAAAGTTTGGTTTTAATTAATCACGATACGTGTCACTAATTTGGATCCAAGGGATTGCTTTAGGGACCTCGCCAAAAAAAAAGTCCGCGTTACCTCTCTCAACTTTTGCGAAAGTCTGTTTTTTCTCTCTGAACTCTAAAACCGGGTAAACCAGGGACGAAGCCAGAAAAAAATTTAGGAGGAGTTGAACAAAAGAATAGAGATTTTTTTATCTTCTCTTGACCTTAGCTCCTCCTACCTAATACATATATGCATAAAATTTTAAGGGGGGCTTAGGAGGGCTCCACGTGCCCAGGATCGGTAGGGGGGCTAGAGTCCCCCCAGCCCCACCGCTGGCTCCATCGCTGGGGTAAACCACTACCCTGAACTTTAAAAACCATTCGTTTTACCTCCCTGACTGGTTATAAACGATTTTCATAGGCGGTTTTTATCTTTTTCTTTTTTATTTATTTCAGCTGAAGTAATTACCACAAAAAAGTTTCATCGCTGGAGTATGACATTTTTACTATAGTTCGATCATACAATAATTAGCTCACCACAAAAAATTACTACAATTGGACCACAGAAATTGCAGCTATGAATTAATTACAGAAAAGCATATATCTAAAGCTACATCAAAAAAATCGTACTAAAGTATACCATATTATATATTCACTGTGTAGATATACTCATGTGGAGTCCAAAAAAAATAGATTTTTCACTTTATGATTTTTCTGTGATTTATTATGATTTTTCAAAGTTTTAGCCAAAATAAATAAAAAAGAAAAAGACAAAACCGCATTTAAAAACCGTTTATAACCGGTTAAGGAGGTAAAACGAACGTTTTTAAAAGTTTAGAAGGCGCTTTATTCAGTTTTAGAGTTCAACGAGCAAAAATAGACTTTTAAGATAACGTGGACTTTTTTAAAAAAAAATAGAAAACAAAAAACAATTGGAATAAAGACTCGGTCGCTGCAATTGGGCCGGCCCAGAACTGTTCGGTGCTCTGCTCCTCTTCCCCCAATTATCCCCCCGTCTCGCCGTCGAGGGTTTAGGCACCCGCTCGCGCCGGCGCCGCCCTTCTCACGGCTGCGTCTCTTCCGGCTGGAGTGTCTCCTACCCCCACGGCAGGCTCCTGCTGCGGCGCTCGGTAAGCCCCATATCCCAACCGCCCCATCTTTCTCCCGCTTCCCGTACGGGTGATTAGTCTGCTTTCGGTGCTCTTGAACCCTTCTTGATTTCAATCTCCCGATGGATCACGGTTCTGATTCAGCAATGCTTCGCCACCTCTTCGAATCTCGCGTCGTCTTCGATCTAGCAGATCGACTCACCTAGTAATCGAACGGGATTTTGCGGTGTTCTGACCTAGATTGTATTTATTTTAAAAAAAAAATTCGCGTTCCTTGTTTGTTCCGTCTTCTAACGGAGGAACTGCTCGAGCAGGAGACGCCATGGAGCATGAGGGGGGAGACATCATGGAGCTTGACGGGGGCGCAACAGGGCGTGCCCGCGCAAGTGGCGGTGGCGGCGGAGGCGGAAGCTCGGCTGGCGACCTGGACCAGCTGAGCGCCCTGCCGGACAGCCTCCTGCACGCCATCATGTCGTTCCTGAAGGCCCGGCAGGCGGTGCAGACGTGCGTGCTGGCCACGCGCTGGAGGCACCTCTGGCGCTCCTTGCCGTGCCTCGACATCGACCAGGATGAGTTCAGGGCTGCGCCGAAGCCTTCCAACAACAACCACCCTGCCCCCGACGTTGAAGACTCTGATATCGAATTCGACGAAGCTGACGACTCTGACGGCAACGAGGACGACGGCATCAAGGACAATGAGTGGGACAACTTTGAGGATTTTGCTGATTGCCTGATGCATCACTGCAACATCGCTCAGTTGGATTCCTTGAGACTGCATGTGAGTAAGAGCAGGGCACCTAGTTTCGCCAATAAACAAGCAGGCGGATGGCTCAGGCGCGCAAT